GCATTCTTCACATATAGATAACATCCATTCCATATGCACTCTTGGATAAATTGAACGTGGACTGGGACTAAAAGGGATCTTCCTATTTCAACGGTTGAAACAGTTAGATCACCTTTCACAGATTCCTTACAGGGAAACCTGTCAGTCGCAACTTTCTCGAAATCAGCAACCTTCCTCAATTTCTATAATGACGCGTTTAAAAAAGAAAATGAAACGTGATCGAACCTATGGTTGCAAGAGAAGGTTGCTCAATTTGAAATTTAACTGTTTTCAATGTTCCAAAATAGAAAGACCCCTCAACAAGAATATTAGGTCGTCAAGATCACCATATGTTAAAATCTTCATGCTACAGTATATCGGACACTTGTAAATCAGGATCCGGCTGAGCTACGCTCTCCGTGGAGAACTCGAACGGTTCCAGTTGGTCCTTGAGATCCTCCTCAAGTTTTACAGGATTACTACTCACGTCGCCAGATACCGGGTTGTTGCATACTATGTTGGGCGCGTTCAGTGGATCCTCTGCTTTTATCTCCTGCTTCATCATGAACGCCGGCTTCTTCGACTTCACCTCGCGTTTGGTGTCCGTTCGTTCCCTCTCGTACATAAACGTTTTCCGTTTCCTTTTCATCGGTTTGCATACTTTCTTGTACAAAACGTTCATCTCCTTCACTCTGCTGGTCGGTATGGTCCAGTCCATTTCCTTGGATGTTGTATCGGAGTTTCGTGTAGGATCCATTGTGCTCTCGTACTCTGGGATCTCCAGGCCCAACTTTTTCATTACACTGATCATTATGTCGTCAATGTTACCGTTAATGATCAGATCTGCCTTTTTATCCTGAAATCAAGAAACACCTTCCATTTGAACTATACCGATTCCTTGAGCGATAATCGATAATTGAATAACTTGTATAGAGGCAACTTGAATTTTATTAGTCTATAGATTAGTAGGGAATTATAATTAATTGTAGAATGGAACTATTATCTTACATGTTTCGTGGGTTGTAGATTACATATAACGAGTCGACCTCCATATTTTTTGGTGTACAGAGGCAAATTACCACTGGGAATAATTTGTAACGTCGTCCCCAGACATATACTCAAGTCAGCCACACTGTAATTGTATTTTCTCTATATTAGTTTCTTTAGCCGGTATTGCTGGTACCGTGTAAATGAAATATAATTGTCAACTAAAACCTGAGACACCGAGATAGCATTTTCTGATCAATGAAAGCTTTCCAAAATATTTTTTCGTATACTTGCACAGACGCATCGAAATTATAAACATGTAATATGTACTTCAACAACCATTAGGCACTCTTCTTTTCATCTGTTCGCAAAAAAACACCAAATTTTTAGTGAACAAACGCATTTTAGGGGGCAGTCATATTTGCAAATGACTACATCTTTCTCTCGCAGATACATTTCGATTCATTTTCTTCTTACAAAAATTTGCACAATGTCTCCAAATTTCCACCCTTCGCGTGCCATAACATGGAACATGAGGTACCAGTAAATCAACATTTTTATTAATACAGAAATGTTGAATTACCTAGAATGCAAATCAGACAACGACAAATCACTGTCTGGCAAGTTGTGTTCCCAATCGAGAATGGTATCATGCATACGGCCGCGACATGGACGACCACCTATCTGTTCTGATCGACAGACAGTGTCCAAAGATTTCTTGCCCACGCTTTTGGTTGCAAAGTTCCGAATGAATTGTCTAAAAAAAAAGTACAGTGTACATGAATTTTTCAAATTACAGAAGGTACATTCAAAGTAGATCTTGCGCATTATAAGAAATATATTATTTTATATTCTATAAACATATTATTTTCAATGCAGAATATTAACCTGCCACATTTGTCGCACTGTTCCGTAAACATATTTCCATGCAACTCTGCCAGATGTTGCCTTTGTACCCCCGATCGAAGATGTAAGCCATCAATATTTTGGCTTATGATGAACTTAACTTTTTCTATAACAAATCAACGTAGATATGAATCTAACATTTCCAATAAATAATCATTTGGCATTGCTTATACTCACTGGCATCTACTAATCTTTTTAATGCCATGTGTGCTTTTGTAGGTATTGCTTCGTCAAATGAGATACTCATGGTAGGCTTCAGACCTTTCTGTTCTAATGTCCATACCCCATTTGTTCCTCTAGAATATCAAACACCAAATTACAAGTAACAAACACAAAAATTAATTCATTTAAGTATACAAATATTTAAACCACCCTATTCCATACATATGATCATTTC